CACACCCACAATTTTTTCCCCACCCGGATTCCCGGTTTGCCCCCCCCCCCCCCCCCCCCCCTCCCCCTTGCAACCACAAAGGACCGAGTGTTGCAGCTGATCAGACTCGACAGGGAGCTCACGGGAGAGCTTCTGCTTCGACACCCGGAAAAGTTCAGCGTTTCGTCGGTGGTGTCCCAGCTCAAGGGCAGGAGAGACTTGCAGCACTGGTACCTCGGACTTCTGTTTGACCGTTCTCCGGAGATGTACGGGGCGCAGGAGTACGCGCCGTTTCACGCTCTACAGGTGTGTGTGTGTACGTGTCGTGGGCCTCGCACCCGCTGTCGGTTCGGTCGTTGTTTTGGGAGACACGACCGGGGTGACAAAACGCTGGTGCTGCTGGTGCTGCTGGTGCTGTTGTGATTGTTGTGACTTCTATGGCGGTTGTTGTAATTTTTTGTTGTAACTGTCTCGGTTGTTTTTGTTGTTGTTGTTGTGGTAGTGAGCTTGGGTGTTCGCACGTGCGCTCTCAAGCCCCGAGTACCTCCAGTTTGGGGCGATGGACATCGCGTGGCAGGGCTCATTAGACCCAAAATGTTGGCTCTTTTTTTCGCACCCCTCCAGCAACACACCCGCTTGCTTTATTTAGTCCCCTCCTGCTTAAGTTTCCTCCGATGCAACCACACGCAACAAGCGGTACCGCCCCCGCTTAACCCCCCCCCCCGGCATTGGAGCCCCCCTGCCGGGGTTGGGTTTTCGTCGCTTGGCAACGACGTTGTAAAACAAGCCAATTCATTTCGTGAACTCGGCAACCAGGTTACCGTTTTTTTTTTTCCTTCTGTTTTTTTTTTTTTTTGGTGGTAACCATAATGGTGGTGGAGTAGATCATGTTGTGCGGGGTGGAAAACCCTCACTCCGCGCAAGGTGGATGATCGCACCACGTTGTGTTGAAATGGTAAAGCATCCTCGAGGCAGCTACACAGTGCTTATAACTGTCTCAGGAAGTGAAAGCACCAGAAAATAAATTGAGTCATACGCAGCTGTCATCCGTACGCAAGCAAGTAAGCACAAGATGCCGAACACCCTTAGCAGAATGCAGCGCACCCTTCATGCGACTCGCCGAATACCTCACGGCGCTTCGCGCTTGGTGATGTGAGAGCCTGGTCCGGTGAGAACCCGGCGTGCTCCGTCCCGGCTTTGTAGGGATGCGAGGTCAATGGTTTAACGACTACGGCATGCACGACTATGAGTACACCCCCCCCCGCCCCCCCGACGTCTTGGTGGCGGTGCCAAAGGTATCACTATTGGCCGAGTTTGCGCCGCCGTTCGAGCGAGGCCGGCCACCGGCCTACACGAGCGCGTTTTTGCGTTTCTTGAGACCGACGGGGTTTGCACCGCTGGAGGCCGCGTTGAGGGAGTGCGGGAAGCGGCGCCCCCCCCTGTACGACGAGATGGCCTACATCCTGGGGAGGATGGGCGACACTCGGAGAGCGCTCACGATCTTGCTTGAGGTTGGTGCGCCTGGGTTTCGGTTGTGCTTTGTGAGCGGGTAGCAGGCGTTGCAGCATGCCGACGTTGTAGACCGCGTTACTGCACGGCGACAACGGCAGCAGCAGCAGCAGCAGTGCCATCTCGGTGATAATTGGACAGATTTGTTCACGGCCTTTTGGAATCGTGCCCATTTCGTCCATCATCCCGTTGGCGTTGCCTCCCGTCTTCGCAGCTCCTGGGGCATGCACTTTTCTCCACATATCAGCGACGACGACAAAAGGAAAAAATGTGTGTTTGTGCGTGTGTGTGTTTTTTTTTTTTTTTTGTATTTGCGCTCAGCCACCTGACGCCAAGTCTCGCAGTCCATACACCCCGAGGTTGGCCTCCAAGAAAATCCTTCACCCATGACTTTACCCCTGACCGATGCACACACACCCAACCCAACACAACCTGACGGTGCCCCGGCCCCGCCTGCAGGAGGTAGGCAGCGTGCCGCGCGCGATCGAGTTCGTCGAAGCCCACGACAAAGACTTGTGGTACCGGCTGATCGAGCACAGCCTCAAGAGCGAGACGTTCCTCTCGGGACTGTTGGACCACGCCGGGGTCTACGACGTAGATTTGGCCCGTCTGGTGGCCGAGATCCCCAAGGGGATGCACATCCCGGGGTTGCGGGACAAGGTGGTTAAGATCATATCGGACTACCACTTTCAGGTGCGGATCGTGTGGTGCTGCTGAACATCGCAAGGTGCCTCGGGGGGGGGGGGGGGGGGGAAAAGTAACCC